TTTTGGGGTGGAGGGGAAGTACAGACAACAGGACTTTTAAGTGAGGGCACCTCTCTCCTCAGAGGAGAGAACTTTTTAAGCTCTAAAGGATTGCTGCAGGTTCAGTTCAAGCTTTATGAACAGTTTTAGTTCAGCTTTATCTCTTTCCCTAGGTAGCTTGCTTGGCCCAGGAAATAAAATGATATGTGTTCAGTGACCTTGATTATCCAACCTGTGTTTTAATTCCTGCACTGAGAGGACTGTAGATCTAAGCAGTAGCTGATCTGCAGAAGTCTCCTGTAAATATTTAGAAGTGTTTGCCAAGGCCAGCTCAAACTTCCCTGGGTGATTTTTCTCTAATGCTTTTCTTTATCTCTCTTGCCTTCAGATAAAATGTCAGCTCATGAACTGCAATAATAGCCTTTCCCTTCAGATTTATTTTTTTCCTCAGTTTTGATTAAAGAAAAAAAAAAAATTCCAGGACTCTGCAGGAAATTTCTCACAGGGAAACTTTCTGTGATAGCTACAAATTCTTACAGTATCTCCGTGGCACGGTGCCCGCAGCGAGGAGCCGCTGTGCCTCTCCGGGCCGCTCAGAGCTCCCGCGACGTCTCCCCGACTTTGTGCTGCTGATCCGAGCCTGATGATGGCACAGTTGCTCAGCTCCAGGCTGCCTGGCTGTAAAGCATCACTTACAGACGAACTGATAACACTGATAACATCTGAGCCCCTCTCCTTTACAACAGAGACTCTCTAATCCACAGCAGTCCGAAATACACGACAAAAAAATAGGAGGGGGCAGGGAGGGAAAGCGAATAAAGAAAATGGGAGGGGAAAAAGAGAGAGAAAATTAAAAAGTCCTTCAGTCCAATGTCCTTTCAGTAGACCAAGGTCACGGTGGGGCCAGATGCTGGTTGCAGCTCAGCTCCGGGGAGCAGAGGAATCCGGAGGGCTGATTGCAGCAGTCGGGCTGCTCTAATCTCCTCGGGCTGCTCGCAAAAGGCAAAGCCATTCTCGGGACAGGGCGAGTGCTGGGCCAGCCACCCCAGGGTCCTCTCCAGCAGCCTTTGTCCTCTCAGCACGGGGAGCTCCCTCCTGCACCGCGTCTGCCCCAGGCCTCGGGGGAGGGTGTTTTTAAAATGCAACACTATTGAAATAACAGAAAATGTAACTGGGAAATAGAAATGTGGGCACAAAGGATGACACTTTTTTGAAAAGGATATAATGGTAAGGAAGTGCAGAGGATCTTCCCTGTAAGGGTAAGGGCTATGAGAGCTGGGTACTGCAACAGGGACCATAAACATCATTTATGCCCATTCTGCTCATCAGCACTGAATGTCTCTTGCTAGACTTCACTGCAACTTTGTCCTTTTCTCTAATAATTGATATATTTTTTTTGCATTGTTTTGAGTTTTGTTTAATTTTCCTATTAAATGCAGAGCCTAGATGAAGGGGATCACAGAATTTCTAATAATGATTTCACAGGCCTGCCACCACTTGAACAGAAGAGGCAGGTGTAGACACTGTTATAAATTCCACTGAGTTGCCATTGCAGTTGTCAGTCTGCACCGGAATCCTTTAAGCACCGTACAAGGAGTACCAAAAAAAGCTTTGTGTGGGGAACCTCCCAGAAGTATTTTTTTACAGCTACCGATCTTACTTAGTTCTACTGAGAAACCACAAGATTTGCTGATAACATTTCTCTCTCGTCATGTCCATTTTCAAAATACCATAAGTAAATGGTTTGGCAGAAACAATACTGTAAGAATAAGTGATAACCAGAAACTGTAAGAGATTAAGGAAAGTCTTTGGGAGTTTCTGTTATATATACAGACCTAAACTGCGTTCAGAAAATAAAGAAAAAAGACATAAAAAAGAACTGAAATGGGGGAACACACTTGCTAGCCATGATGCCTGACCCCCAGGGGCACCACTTACACAAACCTTTTCCCCAGAGTTAAGAGGGAGCAGCTGTGTTGGGGGTTATTTCACTGTGTCAGTGAGAAAGCTCCTGCAAATTTTTAATGTCTGCCCACTCCATAAAGAGGAAAGGGTTTAGTAGGCAAGTTAAAAATACTCTTGTGAGCTCCTGGTCGTGCCATGGGGGAGCCCTGCCAGGACCACCCAGATGCAGGGATCCCCACAGCCCAGCTGGGAGCAGCTCATGGGGCGGGGCAGCCAGTGCTGGCAGCTGGGTTTGAATGTGTGCCCTCTGCACCCTGCACAGGGTTTCAGTGTGTGTGCCCTCTGCACCCTGCACAGGGTTTCAGTGTGTGTGCCCTCTGCATCCTGCACAGCCCAGGCACGGCAGGGCCCCTCTGGCTGCAGGCAGCTGTGAAGCCAGAGGAGGAGGAGAGACTTTTCCAGCCAAGAAGCCTGGCTGGAGGTTGCTCTCCTGTCTAGTTCCAGTCAGGCAGTTCTCTGTTTAATCCTTGTGGCTTCAGGCACTTTCTAGGTGAGTCTATAGGATGAGCAGCTGGAGACAAGGTAGACATTAAAGCAGGTTTAAGAATGAATATGCTAAGTCTATCCATATGGTACTTTATATCCAGCTTAATGTGCCCTTGAGCAGTTCCCTGTAGCCGTTCTCCATACAGAAACCCCTGGCTCTCCCTGGAGGGTACATCAAGCATTGAAGATTTGTGGAAGGCAGTGCTGGTTTCAAGTGCCTTCAGGCATTGCCTGATGTCCAAAAAGACAAGGATGAGGAAGGTGGATGGACACTACTTTAAGACCAGCGCTGGGCTGCAGTATCAGACCTTTGCTGGCAAAGGAGCTCACTCTTCTCCCCAAGGTCTGGGCTATCACTTACCAGTTTGTGAGCTGCAACTTCCAGTCTGTTCCCTCCCAAGAGATGAGATAATTTTTTCTTGAGCAAGAAGCATCTTCTGCAGCATTTGAAAGGTCTCAAACACGAGCTCGATGCCAAAAGAGAGATGATGCTGGAGAAGCAGTGGTTTCTGCAGCTAGGATTCATTGGGATTTGGGCAGCTAGCATTTCTGAGTCTGCATTGCAACACATTCCTTAAGGTCTGGGATCTCTATCCACTGAAAATAAATAAATATATAGAACTATCTGTGACTCCAGCTTTAATTCTGAGGGGATTTACTGCCATAGAAATACGGTGTTTGCTTGAAACACAATTGAATCTGCACCCGTGCTCCTTTGCTGGGCTGTGTACTTTGCTTCCCAACTTCCACAGATACTGAAGAGAGAATGAGCAGATCTTCTTAAATCTCAATTTAAAATGGCACCCTCCCTCCTTCCCACTACCTCCCATTCACCCACCCACCTCCCCTCCATGGCTTCAGATGTTCCTGATTACTTACGTTTAGCTTCCAGGTCGGGAACTCCTCCCATATTCCCAACACTGGGTCTCCAACACTGGAAATTAAATAAATCTTGTATTATTTCTTTTAAAAGGCATTTAACTCCAACAATATGCAGTTGCAGCTGTGAATGACTGAACCCATTTCATACAATATGTTTCCCAGTCAGAAATGAAATTGGCAGTGCAAGCCCTCCACCCCCCAGAATTACTTGGCTAAAGTAGTAGCCAGATGAGCAAGCAAAAAATCACAAGAGGATTAAACCAAATATGCAGCTCAAACAGAAGAGCAGCTGAACCCTCCAGCATTTCAATACACAGCTGATTCAGCAAAACAGATACACATTCAAATGAAGGATGTCACTGAAAGGGAAAACCAGGCAGCTTAATCAATAAAGTGTGCAGCCTGTCCTGGTACAGGGAAAGCAGCAGGCTGAAAAGCTACACAGAAAAATGAATTGGGAAGAAGAATCACTCCCTATGGCTTTCACTGGGACCTTGAAGCCCCAGTAGGAGCCACACCAGGAAAGGTAACTCATGGAGATAGGCCACTGCCCATTTTATCCCTCCGTTATCCCTTCTTGGGACTAATCCCTGGAGTGTGGGGTTAGAGGAAGTCAGAAAACAGCTGCATGTTTTTTCCCAGTCACACAGTTTATAGGAAGTGGGATATTATTTAATTCAAGATTGCAAGTTTAAAATTTTCACCCAGCTACAAGTTTTTTTATTACAGTACACAGATGCTTTATTCTCTGTGAACTATTCAGAAGTGGACTTGATTAGCAACAATGTTTTCATTTCACTTATATGCCAGCACAGTGCAGCAGAGAAAGAGTTGAAGAGATTCACATTCTCATACTCACATCCTCCTCACAAGAGATTCTGTGCTCCTTGGTTGCTACAAAGCTGGGGTTGTCTCAGTCACAGAATCTTGTCCCCCGTGCTGGCCTGGGTATGGACACTTTGTAAGGGCTGGCTTGGGAGGTGCAATGTTTGCCAGTGCCCGTGTCCTTGAGGTTTGAACACAGGCAGAAGCTGCTGTTCCATCACCTTCCTGCCAACAGAGAAATCTGCTCAGAGAAACCTTCTCACAAGAGCAAACCTTCTCCACAGAAAAGTAAACGGGAAAAGGCTGGGAGAACAGCTGATTAAAGGACATGCCAGTGCACATTAAAATATTTGCTAATTGCAAATATATTGTCCCACTGTGCTGCCATCTCCAGCTCTGTCTCACGTGAAATGCCAGTGGGCTCCAGACTGGATTTTGCAGTTAATAAGCCCATCCCTGCCCAGAGGATGGGAAACTGCAGCAACACTGAACACTGATGCTGCTTTCTTGCTCTTGTTTTTCCCTCCTCTGTTCCCACATTATATTGGGGTAATTATGCTCAGCATAAAGCAGGCTACGGTGCTGAGTGTAACCTGAAAACCTAAAGAGTGAACTAATATTTAGATTTAATTTGCAAAGTTAGGGAAGAGCCCTGTTGAAGTTGATTAGATAAAGACTGTGTGCAAGATTTTTCCATTTGTTGCAAGTTTTCTAATCAGCACAACCTTGCCATGAAGGAAGAGGCTGGACATTTCCCAGCAGCCTGTGAGCAATGGGCAGATAAATCCTCCCAAGCAAAGGTAAAGCAAAGTTAATAACTTGAACACGACAGAAGAACTGCTTCCATGAGAAAAATGTTCACTTACATGAGTTAAATGTTTAGGGCTGGTTAAAAATCACAGTGTGAAAAAAAGAAAAAACAGCTCTGGCTGCTGATGCTTGGGTTTGGGTTGCAGTGTTTAGAAGGATAAAGGACCACAAATTCCCATCTGCTGATTGAAACTCTTTTCCTTACTGTTTTTGGGTTGTTCCTGGTTGAAGTACTTGAGAGATGTTAAAAGAAAAATGTTTATAAAAANGCTGGAAGCGAACCAGCAGAAAAAAACAAGGCTGTGGTTCCAATAAGAAGGAACTTGCAATTATTGTTCAGATCAGGTTCATATTTGGAATCGTGTCTCTAATCCAATAAAGTGTGTAATTTCAGGCCCATAAATAATCCCTGTTTTTAAAAGGATTCAAATTTCACTGCTTTGATATTATAGCAGGGAAATGGTAGCACTAAATGCCTGCTATCATTTAGCAGTATGCATTTATTTGACTAGAGTTTAAAAGGCTGTGTTTTTCATAGTACTTATCTAACTACCTATTTATTTTCTCTGTTTTTCTGAATCTAAGGAGAGTGTTTACCTTCAGCAGGGCAAGAATGTGGCTTCAAAAGAGCTGATCAATATTAACCTTGCACAGTACTACATATTATCTCTATTTTGCATAAACTATATTAGAGAGCCAGCTAATGTATAATTTATGCACAAGAAGATATCTGCATATTTTCTGAATATGGGTTTACAAATCTTCTGCTGTTTTTAATCTTCAGACTCTCAAAACTGTTCATTAAATATATTGTCTATACATCTTTTTCAACAGTTTTGTCAGTGTGTGTGATTTATGCATAAAGCCCACAGTGAGGCAGATGCATAAAACTGCAGTTTAGCTAGGTAGGCATAACCATTCAGCAAACTTTGTTTAATTAGTCACTAAATCAGTGTTTATGACTTTGTTGACTGACTGATGTTTTTGAAGTATTACTGACTCTTCTTAAAATGTCTGCCCTTGCTATTTGTTATTTTAACAGATATTGGGTGCCATAATCTGGTGCTTAAATATCCTCTGTTGTAATTCAGTGCTAATGACAATGCTGAGATGACAGAACTATTAAACTGGATACAGAGTTGTCAAATTTTAAGACAGCAAAATACTCATCTGTGACGTGTAGCATATGGCAGAAACCTGGGAAAATCAGCAGCAGAGTTAAGAATAAACAGAAGCTGTGTTCCCTAAAAAATATAATCCGACAGCCAAACACGGATAATCTTGAAACGTACTTGACAGTCCATGAGTTTAGTCAACAGATTATAAAATCAGAGGCAGGCAGCACTGCATTTCCAGAGAACAAATCACAGCACAGCTCTTAATGCTGAACTCAATGTGTAAACAAGCTGCTTTTTCTACATTCTCTGTAAAGAGATCATTAAAATACTACAGCTAATTATGCCTCAAATGTCTATGGAGTCACATGTGTTTATCCAATTTTCATTTTTTGCTGCCTGTCTCATACTTAAGCAATTTTGATGTGCAGTGCTTAAAATGCCAGCCTTTATTAGGTGAGCTCCTGAAGCAGCACAGGGACAGTTGCTCTGCCTGTGCAAATAAATCACCTGGAGCCACAGCATATCTCCCAGCCCACAGTGTGCACCTGAGTTATCTACTGCAGTGATCTCAGGGGCTAGAAAGGTGCCTCAAGGTGACAGCAAACAACTCAGCACCTTCAAGCATTTCACTCCTCCTAACTTGCATTCATTCCCTATACACTGAATACAAACCATCAGTGTGATCCTCTGGGAAAGACCATGACTGCCATCTAACCTGCTGCTCCTTTTGAGACTGCTCCTCTTGCAGACAAGAAACCATTTCAGCTCTTCATTCAGACACTTTTAAGGTGGCAGGATTTATGGTTTCCTTGTCTGACGGTTTATTTTGCCATTAAACTTCAAGACTCATCATAGCAGCACATGTTATCCAAAGTTAGGTAGTTTTATACACTGAATCAAAGAAGGATCTGGAAGATTTTAAAAGAAACATGATTATATAGCTTCTTGCCAAGAAAAATCACAGGGTCGACTTTTGAGCAGCTGAGACTCCTGGTGCTCCAGCAAGAGCCTCTCCCCTACTCTGCCTTTCATTCTCATCAGGCCCTGAGCAGACCTGGGGCACAGCAAACCTTGTTGTCTAACAGCTCATGGATGCCTCCATTTGAAGAATGCATTAAATCTGGTTCAGTACCCTGATTCTGTGCTTTAGATTCACTCCAGTCCCACTCTGTCCCTCCTGCCATGCACTGAACGATGCAAGGTGGACACTGCTCCCTAGTCCAGAAGAGAGGAGGCATTTCACTATTTTAACACACTGTTGAGCCCAGCTTGTGGTACAGGTGCTTGGTCTGAGGCAGGAAGGGAGCAGTGGAGTCGGGAGGGCTGTGCTGGTGCCAGGAGCTGCCACGTCCTCCCATATTCCTCTCAACACTTCACCTCTGTTAGCAGGGGAGTCCATTCACACCTACAATAAAGCCTTCACCACTCCTCATAAAGCACAAAGGCTTCTTACATGGAGTGGATATCACTATTCCACCAATTTAAAACCACTTTTGACTGTCAGAGGCATAAAGGAGTTTTAGTATAAATAAGAATGTGGTAGTAATCTGATCTCATATCCACAGGGGGGCTGATTCTCTTCTCATTTACATCAGTTTTATTTTCATATAACTCCATTAGTTTCAGTATTTATTTTTGCATGAGTGACAGCTGAATTATGCCCAGCATAATCACACATGAAGTGTAAAAATCCAACTTGACTAATTTCCTAGTATTAGCCACAAGTGCTAGAAGCCAAAATAGAATCTCAACAAAGTAGTCTCCCAGTCTGCCCTTATTCTTTATTTCCTTTCCATATCCAAGTTGGACACATCTCTGAGTTAGAGAAAGAAGTATGAGGATGGAGCCAAGGAAAAGTAGTTCAGATAATCTGGGTTCTACTGAGATTTAGTGTTCAAATAAAACTGGATTTGAAGGGACCTCTTCGGAATTTGTGTATTCTCTGCAGAGTTCTGCCATGTCCAAAATGAGAAGGAATTATGGCAGAAAAGTCTAAGAGCAGCTTGGTAAGGCAAAGAGTTGGAGAGAATTGTTCCACATTTCAAGTGATGAACCACTCACAGTAAACATTTCACCCATCTCTGGTTGCTGTTGGTTGGGTTTATTTTTTATAACTCCATACACGAGGAAGAAAGCTCAGGAAAGGACAAATTTTTGGGGCATTCTCCTCCAAGGTCTGTTATCACCCATGACAGCAGGTGATAGAGCCAGTGTTAGGAATAAGGATGGTGGTCACAGCTGCATTTTGGTACTGGCTCCTGGGAATTAGAGGGGGGCAGGAACTATGATGTACCATCCAAGGCAGGGTTCTGATCTTCAGGAGACCACATCTTTGTAAGGGCCAGTCCCAGTCTAAACTAGCACGAGCAGCAATTTCTTATGAGCTATTTATTTACTGTCCTCCTTACCTAAAGTTTCAGGAAGTAGGTAAATCTGGATAAATTTGACTTATACCACAGAAGTAACCCTGCACTACTGACTTGAATGTCATTAATGAAGATTTTTGATCCTTTCTCCCTTCAGTTTTTTAAAGGAAAAACAATGAGCCCCTTCCACAGCCTGCAGTTCCTGTGGATCACAGAGCACAGACCCAGGGCAGAGTTCATGCAGTTTACACTTTCCATGAGCTGCTTTTCTCTCTCCCACTTGTGACGTGGCTGTTCTGCCACCGCAGTATTCCTGAGCTGGCACGTGTCTGAGCTGTGCTGTCTTGTGAGCTATCCAGTCTTTATGTCTAGCAGTGATCGTTGCTTTCAAAAGCCTTCCTGATAAATAATAGATAAAAGAGACGAACCATGGCGTGGTTTCAGGTTTGAGTGCTTGATACACTGGAGTAACAAGCATTACATTTTCAAGGATGTCAGGAAGAAGCAAGAAACACAAAACAGAAATGGAGGAGAGTGGCAAGAAGAGTTAAAAAAAGAAGAGAGGGAAGAGGCAGGCCAAGCAGAAGGCATGGAATGGAAACCGTGGGAAGTATTAAATTGCGCTGGTACACGCTGGTGTCCTGCAGAGCTACAGGTGTTTCTGCCATGAGTGCAGAATCCCAGTGACTCACCTGATGGGAATGACTGAATCCTCATCCCCTCCACCTGTCTCAATGCTTCATTCCAGCTCCAATGGATATTACTTCTTAGTACAACTACTGGAGATTTGCATTGTTACAAATTACACAGCGTTTCTCAAATTAGAACATCAACATTTTCCCTGCCACACAGTAACGAGCAGCACT